GTGAAAACATCCTTCTAGTGTTAAACTCTGCACATACATCATTCTGCACTCACTCTTTATAGTATGTCACCGAATGTAACAACCATTAGAGGTTGCTTCCCAACAATAAATGTAAATATGGGTTGTAATAAGTTGTTTGCACAATCAACCCTTTTTCTGGTGAGGACGGACTGATTTTGCCAGTATGCTCTGAGCTGTAGTTTCTTTTTGTTCAAAATTGGCATGGTTTGGGCAGCAGGCTATGATGTGTAAAATAAAATGCATAGAAGAAGTCATGTCAAACGAAAGATTCTGCCTATTGTAAAACTCATATCATCAGGATCATCTTAACATTTGCTGCATGAAATCATGTTTTTCTTTACTGACCAAACAAAATGTCCCCTTTTACATATAGTCAACTGACGCTGATACAGTTACATAATGTCATGTCATTCTGTTGATGGGAGGTGAGGCTGCACTGAAGCGGACCATCAGCGAGGTGTTGAGTCAGCAGGAGCCCATCTGTGTCTGCAGTGACTCTCTACCTGGTTTGTTTCACATCTCCAGAGTTTCAAAAACAAAACAGAAGATGAAAAACACCTGACAGGTGAGGGAATTCAACAGACGGAGTGATGTGCTGGACCACAGCAAAGTGGTAAACTTAAAAAGGATGTTGCATGTGTGAAGCGCACACATCTGCTCTGTGTTAAGGGATGCTGTATTTACGTTTCATTGTTGTTGCACTTTTGTTTCTCTTTAGCTAATGGGGCTCTGGAGCCCATTCAGCATGCATTATAAAATGAAACAATGCAATTTTCAGTTTGTGTGAGTATACAGCTTTAGAGTAAAACACATCTTCTTTGTTTCTTTAATCAACATTTTTTCTCTGAGGGATGGAGTCTGTTAACATAAACAAGTACATTTGACTACGGTATGGTTGGAAGCTCTTTTTTCTCATATTAGATATCATCAAAGTCATAATGTGACATTATTCAGGAGAGTTCCCACAGTTTTAGAAATGATGTAATCAAAAGAAACAAGGAAATATCTCTCTGTAAGGGCTAAAACGCTCCATATAAAGCTACCAGGAACTGCAGAATTTGGTGTTTGTATTTGGACTCAGACATTGCACATCTGATCCGTTGTTAATATAAGTATGACTTAAAGGAGCTTTAAAGTCTGATCTGTGTTGTACAACAAGTGGCTGATATATTGCAGCTTGGTGCAGACCACCATGGAAGCTGACTGAGCAGTTTCCATGGTGTCATCCATTCTACTTTTAAAGATATTGATTCATTTCTGTACATCATATTGGATACAGTGGCCTTGTAGTGAACACCACAGTACAATACATTTAAACGACACAGTTGATTGTGTCAAAGAAGTATTTATTCTTTTCTACTGAAGGTGCTCTCCCCCACCGACATTAGTTGGAATGCTCAAAACAACCTGTTTTTAACCATTTTAAAATTTAGTTATAGTGACTATTTTAATATAGACTCATCATGACCTTAATTACAATTTGTTCCCATATACTTAAAGGAAGGCCACTAAAACCCAATCTGTGTGATTTGACAAATAGGTTGTTTGAATCTTCTTTCTTACCCTTTTTGATTTGTTTGTTCAGACAGATTATGGTAGCAAAGTTAATGAGGTAAAGAAAATCCTAATGAAACAAGCACAATCTACTCAAACTTGCGACTACACTTGATGCCGGATGGTATTTCTCCCAGACTAAGGTTGTAAAATCAATGGAAAACCCAGCATTCTTTTAGAAATCTGTTTAGGCAGATTTCCATCATAATTTAACATATTCCCCCAATTATAAATCTCTTTTACCACCACCATAAATATGTACCTGCATACAGATTGAGAATTAAAGGATGAAATAAAAGCTGAAGCTACTAATTAAAAATTTAACACAAAGCCATTAAGTAAGCTGTTGTTTTAGACAAAGATACACTGAGAGGCTTACTGGTTGCTTATACAACTGTAATTAAACAGTGAGCTGAGTGCAAATCAGGTAACTCTACTGCTAGAACAGGCGGATTAGACTGAGTGTAACAGACTGGACCTGTGGGTTGTAATGGACAAACCTTTAAGATTCTCTAGTACAGGTGCCTGAAAATAACCTTTTCTTACTCTTTCTTGGTTATGAGAGCTCTCTCCAGTAGATGCTATGTTTTTGGCTTATCTGCATCAACTTATGTCATCACCCTTGGTCCAATTAAAAATGTAATGGCGCAGAATAAGTCCCGCCCATTATTGCTCTGTGCTCCAATAACAGTTGGACAAGTCTCGGTCAACTTGTCCTGTCTCTTGTCCTGTACTTAGATACGCAATCTGCTAGGCTTGTCTATTTTGAAAAACAACAAAATTTTAAAGGTTGTTAAAGGTAAAGTCACATCTTAAGTTAACTAGCTAATGCTAGCAAAACCTACTAGCTAGTTATTAGTTACATCTGAAAGCTAGTTTTAGAAAAGCGTTAAACTAATCTAGTTTATAAGCTGGCTAATATACATCAATCGTTAGTTAACTGGTTAGTTAACGTCATTGGCTAACATCCCTATCTAGAGTCAGTTTATGGTTTGTCCCTTCTGGGCTACTGTGGAAACAAGATCCAAACTGCTCATTCTAAGGTAACAAAAACGTAACAACTCTTATATTCAGGTGATGTGACTCTATATAAAGGAGAAAGTTGACTGAGGTTCTGACCGAGGCTTGCTGAAGCACAAAGCAAAAAGGTGCAGGACTTTAGCTTCAGTTATGCTCGTTCCATATAATTTACTGTATATTGGCTTGCTCAGTAGCTTGACGTTTGATACAGAGGTGACCTTTGTAAGTCATGAACAGGGATGTCATATCACTGAGCTGGGAGGGCGTGTCATTTATCAAGGATGTGGGCAGCCAAGCAGACCCGACCAGCGCTTAAATGGACAGATGTTCATTCACTGTCCTCACGTCATTTCTGAAAACATTTTTCTTTTGCTTTGTTCCTTTTCCCCCACTCAGGGGATGAAGACAGACTAGTGCCAGGCAGTTAGAATAACCTCTTGTCATGTGCTTTGACTCTGGAGGAAGGGAGACAGCAGAGGAACCAGTGGGAGGACAGATCAGGCTGGAGAGAATGGAGCCCTCAGAGGAGCTCTAATACACTCAGGAGGACAGGGTTTAAAGTAGGAAAATATTCAAGAGAAGAGAGGAGTGAACTCACCCAAAGCCAGACAACATGCGGCAGACGAGGAACATACTGTAGCCTTGGACAAAGGAGGATAGGAAGGCGAAGAAGCCATTGAAAGACATGGATATCAGCAGGCACTGTTTACGTCCCAGCTTGTCTGACAGGCCACCCCAAAAAAAGGCTCCAAACATCATCCCCAGATACACAATGCTACCTGGAGACAGGGAGGGAGAGACAGAGGGACAGAGAAAGATGTAAATGATCTCAGCCATCTGGAGTCAAATGTTTGTTTGTGAAACTGCTGAGTGAATAAAACACATTGCACTTTGGAAATGGGAGACAGTTTGCCCTCGCACTCATTCGTGCATGTATTCCCCGACACAGTAAAGCATTTAATTCAAACAAATGTCAGACTGCTGGTTTCTCTGCAACAAAGATCAGTCAATGAGAGTGTTAAGAGAGAACCAAAAGAGTAAAGTTGTAGACTGTAAACCCAGAACAAAGTGTTGAGAGATGCTAAAACGCTGAGAAGAGGTGAGAGTGATGATGGTCTATCACTACAGCTTTAAGTTTTGCAGCTATATGGCACTTTAGAGCACTGTATTTGGAAGAGATGTTATAAGTCTTTGCCTTTGTTCCATGTAGATGTCGGAGATCAATTTCAAAGTACCAGTATCCTACAAACATCTACATTTCTATACAATAAAACTAGTGTAGCATAGCTTTAGCACAGGCACTCTGAGCCAACTGCACAGTATATAAAAACTACATTACACCACATTAAACATAAACCTTTTTGTTGTACTGTTAGATTGGTCTGACACCAGGTGACACTGCAGATATCACATTGGTCTTGGACACACACACACATGCATATAGAGTTGCCACAAATAAACACACACAGCTGCTAAACGTCAGCTGAAGCATTAAGTGGTGCTTTCCAAGTGCATCAGTGGAGTAACAGAGCTCAGACTGAAATTGGTTCTGTTATTTGCCAGCTATCGACATAGCACTGAGAGGTCACATAAAATATAGGTGTATATAAAAAGCAGAGATAGAATCGATTAACTCAACACTGTAGATCAACTCAACTGGACTCAAAGTACAGTTTTCCATTCCCTAACTCTAATTATGATGGTCAGTGTGTCTGGGGTAGGCAGGCTCAGTGTCTGAAAAACATTGTGGAACAACATTACGTGATAAAGCTTCAGTGTAAAAGGATGAAGTTACAACAGGTTCTGTTAGATTGCACAGGCAATAATGTGCCTCAATAGAGGCTTCATTTTGCATTGGAGAGTTTGCATTTCATTCATTGACTGGTATCAAATGTGGTAATTTGATATGTCTTTAACCGCTGTGTGTAAACCAGATATCTCTGTGTAATATAGAAGATTTGATTCCAGTTTAATTCTGTCTGACTGAAATGACTTTTCTCTTAAGGGACTGTGGGGGAAACAGAGCAGTTGACCTCATAGCTCTGCTTTTAAAGTCCAGGCATTTGCCTCCCACCGCTGCTTTTCCGCAGGAAGTCGGGGGGTCATTTCTCTTCCTGTCCCCAGCAACATGCAGCAAAGGAAAGGGTTGGTGGAGACGGGTGGGGGTTGTCAGTCCAGTGAATAATCCACTTTGCTCTCTACGTGCTAATAAAAATGCTAATTAGCGTGCGGGGGGATAGAATTGTTTGACGAGGCAGCACCAAAAAGAATGCAGAGAGAGGAAAGGAGGCCTTTTGCCTTTTTTCCTCCTCTTTCTTCTTTCTCTCTCACTGTGTTTGAGGTGATGGGACAGATATGCTGAAAGTAGAAGGTCTTATCAAGCTGCGCAGACATGATGCTGAGAGCTAGTGATTCATTACAGGTGACAGCCACTGGATCTATCTATGCGCAGCTACTGCAGAGAGGGCTCTCCTATAGGCAGCAGGATATAAAGAGCAAGCAGCGCTACCGCAAGCTCACAAATATCAAACTGAAATATCAACATTCTGCACAAACTGGTGACATATTTGATCCAAGTAGCTACACACAAACAATGCATCTGAACGCATGTACTCAAGGAGATGCTATCTGGTAACCCCAGCTCATTTATTTTATGGCTCCCCTTGCACTGGGTTTCTATCTGTAATAAAGGGGGAGGGTAGTGGTGGTGATGGGGCATCTGAGACGCAGCATGAATCTTTCTGAGATTGGATTTGTAGGGTTCAAACTCAGGTCAGACCTTAAAACCTCCATTTGCCTCAAGATTGCGGAGCTTTTATGTAAATTAGAGAAGGTTAGTTAAAAGCAGTGGTGCACAGGGATGATAGTGGTGTTTAAAGTTGCTGTTAGCGATATTTTTTTATTAAAGTAAGTTTTAAATAGCTCTACGTCTGTGGCAGCCATCACTGATTGTGTTCAGTAAGTAACATGGGTCTCCCAGTCCCCTTCAGTTATTATAGTTAAGTATAGTATAGTATAGTTTCATTAGTTTTTATTTTGTTTTAAATTTTTGTTTTCAGTTCAATTTCAGTTTCAGTTAGTTTCCAGAGTGGGTTTGTTAGTTTCAGTTTAGTGGTTATTGTTTAAAAATGTTTAGTTTTAGTTTAGTTTTTATTTGTTTCAATATTAGTTTTCTTTTATTATATTTTGGGGGTATTGTTCAGGGGGAAGATCAGAAGTTCAGAATAGGTGTTCAGAATAACACAAATTGACTCACAGTCATCCCAGTAAAACCTTCTATTAACCTCAAACTGATTAGCCGTTTAATAGCAGTGCAACGTCATACAACTGAATATAACTTATATTTTGTAGGTCAGAATAAGGTGGTGTGATTCTGTATGATTGGATATTAAAAAAGTTTCCTCTTCACTACAGCACTTCACTAAACTCTTTTTTCATTCACCTGAAAAAAATGAGACAACTGCATCTTAACTTAAAAGCTCCAGCTGAGTGACATCCCTCGCCGCATCTACATAGGCTGTCTAGTGCAATCCCAGCAGCAGTTACAGTCCTCCATCAGTGTCTACACGGGATGCGTTCAGTGTTTCTTTGTGTTCACCCACGCTTTGAAATTGCTCACAATCTCTGCATTGTGTAAGATTAGAGAAAATAGACTTTAAGGCTAAAAAGATGCTTCTGGTCTCTGCTGAACATTAACGACTGTAAAACGTAGCTGGAAGCATTTCAGTGCATTTCCATTTATTCTGTTTATTGGGTCCATTTTTTCTAAATTGTACAGCCATATCCGCTCTGTGAGGCTGAACTCTGGCAAAGCAGTACTTTTAGCTAAATGCTAATGTCAGCATGCTAACATGCTATATTTACCTTAGTTTAGCATCTTAGCATGATCATTTTTACTCATTAGCACTGCAAAGTAAAGCTAAGGCTGATAGGAATGTAGTGTCATAAACTAAAGTATGAGAAATGTAGTTGCAGCCCTGATAAAATCCATCCAGCAGACACACAGTGGTTCAATGCCACAACTCAGTCAATCCCAGTAAAGTTGTACTGAGCCCACCTGAACTGTAGTTCTAATCTTTTTCTTACTCCCAGCAGACAGCGTCTGTGTTCTTTTTAACGGTACACTGTGCAGCTTTTCTCCGCATCCAGAGGGATTATTTGAACTAACTCTTAAACTGTCTCCATCAGTCTCCACGCATGCTGCCTTTTTTATTCTATTGTAATTAGCTCTTATGTGCAAGTGTAATTCTCTCCTGACACATTTCTGCTCTGTTTTCTCTCCACACCACCATGCAGTGTCCAGGTATGGATGAGAGGAGAGCGCCAGCAGACAGCAGCCAGTGGAATCAGGCGCTAATTTCCTCAGCGGGAACGTTCAGGACATTATGTGAGAGCTTCAGGTGTTTCAACAGATGAGGGGATTCCCAGAGGACCGTGTGTGATTGACAGGTGGGTTGCAGCAGGGAAGGAACGCAGAGGAGGGGGAGGCAGGGAGGGAGGGGAGAGTAGACCCCCGGGAGTCAAGCACATTCCTTGGGCATTAATTACATCAACACCTGCTGATTTGTTTTTGTAATGGTGGAGTTGGCTCAAAATACTCCAACTTCTTTCTCATTTAAATCCATCTATTGGAACAAATTATAACATCTTGAGACCAAGCAATAATCACACACAGTCACACAAATTTGGACCACTTAGAGCTCCTTCCAGGTTAGATGCAATCAACGATCAAAGAGGCAAAATTATTAATTCTTCACTCCAATCAGCAGATTAGGGTGAGTTCAGGATCAGTCAGGAATTTTGTGTTCAGCTGCATAATAAGGACTGGAAAAAATCCCTCCTCTGATTTACAGGGAAGTTTTTTAGGTGTTTAATTAGATTTGTTAGCTACTGAGAGACAAATTAAACACACATTTTAGGGGAAATTAGTGAAGAGAATGGAAATCATTCTCACAGTAGATCATATGCAACAAGTATTACTCTAGCTGGAGGAATTTCAGAGATGACCCGGCCACAAGCTAATGCTATTTGAGGGGCCTTGGCATGGAAAAGTTTGGGAACCCTTGTTCTTCAGACCATATATATTCCTTATAAGTTTTAATGCATCATCAGCATACTGACAGAGAGCCCCTACGAGGGGAATTCAGCTCCTTGTTCCTGTCACTGACTCTAATCAATACGCCGCGCTTAGAGAAACGACTCAATCAGGTTTCACAGTGAATCCACATTGAATTGTGGCCTCTCTGCCTGGACAGTGAATGGGCGAATGGATCCAGTTGTGGTGCTTTGTTGTGAAGGAGAAAGAGACAGAGACAGGCAATGAAGAGACGGTAGCAAATGTTGTTGTCCCCAGATTTTTTTTAATTAGCTAACCTCAGGCAGCCTATTCATCACTGCCTTGTGTCGATTAACTTATGTCGACAGTGTTTGTGATTGCAAGTAACCGCAACAAACAAAGCAAAAAAAGATTGACATCAGTTACACAAAAGCCTCCTCCAAGCAGACCCTGGTGCTGATGTACTCCTTGAGGTGTTCAGGATACACCTGCAGCCCGGCTTCATGCGAGCCAGCCGGCCTTTTACCGAACATCCTAAAAAGTGCTAACTGCTGTGCAGGAAAACACCCGCAGACAAATTAACGCCATATGTGGTGGAAGAGAAAAGGAGCGGGGAGGGCACTGATAGGAAGTGTACGAAAGTAGCGCTCTCCCTCTCCCTCTCTTTCTCTGGGGAGGTACATGAGCCAGTCTACCATGGCTAAACTGCAGTGAAGCACAATGCTGCAGAGATTAACTCTAGCCCATATCTTCAGATCGCCTGCATGGCTATGAGACACAGAGAGAGTGTAAGAGAGGGATTACAGCAGGACGGTAACAGAGAGGACAGACGAGAGCAGGGAGAGGAAAAAAAAACAGGAACATCCCATATTGGGATAGCATCTCACCTTTCGTATTACATTAAAGGGAAAACCATTTATGGAGTAGATTATGGAGAGAAATACTATAATGCACGCTAATGAATGAATGAATGAGTTATTATGGAGGAAATCGAGAAGAATCATGTACAGTAAAAATTGAATTAACTTTAACTTTAAAAGTATCACATTGCAGCATTTGAATTGCTTTTGTATAGGACACTATTGGAAGATATTCGTAATTGTATTTTACACTTTATATTAATGTCATGCTGAAATAACCAGTAAATTATGTTTGGTAGTTATTAAGTGTGTTTATAAGGTCATGAGTCACAATAAAAAATAACAGAATGTTCCAATTTACAGAGTTACAACTATGACATGGTTTAATTCATTTCAAGTTTTTAACATGGTCATTAGAAATAAATGAAAATGATGGAGACTGGTGATAAATGAAGATGTTCTTTGGGACTATTAGATAAATCTATAAAAAGCTGCTCATCTTATCATTCATTTCCATTTCCTGTAATAGTTTTTCTACAATATGATTTAAAATGATTAATGTGATGATGCATTATAAAATATCAACTAATTTCTTCAAATATATTTCAAATTAAAACAATCAGTCAATGCTTTTGCCTTTAGAGCGACATGTTGAATGCCTCTTCGTACAAACTTTTTCGTTTCAAACAGAGGATTTGGTCTCTTATCGTCTCTGACATCATTCCTCTCAGGATAGTTTTGCTATAACTGAGCCCCTTCAGTGCTTCAAAAGAACTGCTTTAACTCTGGTGAGAATACAGTGCCTTTTTTGCTTGAATTTTTGGTAGCTACTAATTAATGTGCTCCCTTTTGAAATTTGCTGTCAAGTGCTGGCACAAAATGGACAAATCTTTCCTACCATACTTTTGGTATGTACTGTATGTATCTTCCCCGGTACGTACTACTAGAAGTACTACAAGAAATAGCCACAGCTTCGGACTCTGACCCCGAATTCCACCAGAGATGGATTACACTGTCACATTTACTTTGGCTCTGTGATCCATGTGTCTTCTCTAACCTGCTTCTGACTTCTGGCCTGGTGCCACAATGTTGATGTAGTGTGAAATTCACACGTATTATTTTATTTAGAAAATTAACCGGATTCTCTATGCAGTTTCTGTGTTTGACTTCCTGCCAGTGCGATCTGCTCTGTGCTGCTTGACACGAGTGGGTCGAGGCTTCCCTCAGAAATAGACCAGACACTCTACTCGGAACAGAGCAGCAAGACACATCTGGGATGCAGGGGTTCTGGTGGAATTTCAAGCATTGCCTAGAACTGGCACAATCATCTTGGGCAACCGCAACCAGAGCCGAAACGTGTCAAGGCCTTGTCCGGCGGAATCTGGGGTGACTCCAAGCTTAAGAACAACTGTAGTCTTTAAAAAAATGATATATTACCTACCAAAACTCACTTGATTACTGTGTGAGATAGTCTTGCTATCTTTAAGCAGTGAAGGTGATGACTGATACATTTTCTCCCCCTCTGGGCTTACCGATACTTCTCGTACATATCCGGAACTGCAGCCCCTACGCCAAAGAATATCAAAGAAACTACTTTTTTTCACTGGTGGCCAGATTACTTCATGTACCACAGTCAGGTGTTAGTGTTAATAATTGTTTCGCATATTGATTTAAATACTTGACTTGTGGTCAATCACACTATGTTAAAACTCCTTGATTTCATAAGTTATCAGCTCTATAGCCTACAAATTCACATTTTGCAAGGCTTATAAAGCGTACATTGCTTTACTTCCATCCTGTTGGCATGCCCTACTCTCTTGCAGCCTGAAAGAAGAGCAATGCTTCATACACGAAAGCCAGTTAAGTCCAAAGTTTGATATATTTAGAGGTCCAGACTTCTATACACCAAGGCAATATAACACTTCCCAGTATGAGTCCTGACCCAACACTGATTCAGCTGCACATGGCTAGAAAACCCCTTTCCACCTAATCAATATCTATTTTCGTATAAGTGGCTGATGTAACATAGACAGCACGATCCAGCCAAAATGAACCTCTTCAGTTCTCTGTTCCAACACTGCTGCTACAAAGTCATGATGGCTGTCATAAAAATTTTTTACATTATTTAATTTAGCTGGTTGTGTTCCTATGCACACATTCTCTGCACTCATAATTATTCTAATAAGCCATTTAAAACAAAAAAATTGTACTCTACACAGATTTTACTGTACTGGATGATTTCTGTATAATTTCTCTGTTTTTCTCACTTGTTTTCAGTCTCTCCGTCCAGCCAAATGTCCACTGACGAGGCTCTTACCTCTTAAAGTCACTGACCTTCACAGAGAAACTGTGGTAAAAACACCAATCAGTTACATTGTGTGAGATTTATTCTCTCAAGTACATCCACAAGTGAGCATATACACACATCCTTTGTTTATGCGGTGTGTGAGTGAGTTGGTAAAATGACTCATTCTTTCTATTCTCTCCCTCCTGTCTCCTACTGAGCGATGAGTCAGAATACGGGTGAAATCTGGGTGAATAATAAACCACCCTGCTCCCAAACAACAAACAAGGTTACCATTCTTCTTTTTGTTATGAAACCACACAATCATATTGTGAAAATACTTTTTTTAATCTATGTATGGGAAATGACTAATGCTTGAATGTAACACTAAGCATGGGCACAGTGTATTGAGGAAAATGACCAGCACTATGCAGCTATTTTTGATATTAGTGAGAGAAATAATGAAGCAAATTGCACACACACTCAAACACACAGACACATTGGTGGCACGCAAACACACAACTTTTCCCTAGTGTGGGAGAGATCCATCTAGCTTAACACTACTCCTACTCGTGTATCCAAATACCTGATGCCATGACAACCCACTGACAAGCTCCTAAAGCAATGAGATTACAGTTGAGAGTGTCACCCACTACTCTCCATGAACAACCCGGCATGTCATAAACAACACACGTCATTAGCAGGCTGCTAGCAGGGAAACTAATTGCATCAACACCCAAATATTTCATAGAACCTCATGTATTTTACTCCCATCTAACTGCATCAATCAGAATCCATTTCCTGTGCCTGCAAAGCTGACTTTGAGCTGAATTCATGGCTTCTTCGAGCAGTGCCAGATGAATTTCAGATGGCTCACTATACCTAAAAGTCACAATTTCTCACTGTCACTTACCAATAAGATAGTCAGGATCTCACACTATTCTTGGCAATGAATCTAACTCTCAGACAGTTCACATACAGATTCAGAACATGCCTGATGAAGTGAAGTGCTTTAAGCTTTCACTCAGTAAATCAATATACTTGCTGGCTGTAACTTGTTCCCTCTCTCCATCACTGAATACAGGCACTACTGTTCTCCCTCAGGTTGTGTTTGGTTGTCACTTTAAGTACTCTGTAATGTAAAGATTAACTTGAGCTATCTGGTCAGATCATTTTTAAAGCCCCTGATAACTTGATTTTAAACCTATTTCTCTATGACATTAAATATGTCTGACAAAACAAAGCTTAAGTTAGGGGAAAATAGGGTTTAATGCTAAAAACTCGGAATTATGAGAATGGATCAGACTTGATAGACCACATAAGCAAACAGCCTTATCTGTACTTTGTGTTTTGTGCTAATGAGAAAAGCAAGGACAAACCTCCTGACCAAGTGTGAAAATACAGTGGCCACAAAACGGCCGATAAAAACAGCTCATTCTAAGGTAACAAAAACAGGATTCTTTTTTATACACTAATGAAAACATACCTATGAATATTATATTCCATTACTGTCAATAGATCCTCCTAATTGTTACGCACTGTACATTTAAAAAGTAAAAACAGCATCACTGATGGGTGTGGTCAGAAGTAAGCTCTGGTACAACTGTAACCACACCCACCAGTAATGACATGTGCACTGCCACACCCTAGAGTACACTTCTACATCACTGCAGCCTGGTGAGAAGGTTAACAGCCCGTAAAAACAAGACTTTCAAGGGGTTTTAAGTTGTTCGTTAGGTTTCTGCATGTTATCCCACCTCCACATATGTGATTCCCTGTCTGTTTAATGTATCTGAGTGAGAATACAAACAACTCAGAAAATTATGAATATTTACCAAACTTATTCCACTGTAATGTAAGTCCTTACCCAGCCATCCGGCACCAGAGTTGGGGACACACATGTCTGTCTCAGCACTGGGTAGGACAAAGCCCACTACGAACACCTCCACACCGTCTGACATGAGCGCCAGCCCGAGTACAAAGAACAGCTGCCACTGGAATCTCCCATGGCCACACTCCTGCATTATCAGCTCGTACTGCTGGGCAAGCTCCTCCTCATCTGCCTGTCTCTCATTTTCCAACTCCTTGCGGCTCTTTAGGCTGTCAGAAACCGGCTGGCCCAGAGCCACCTGACCATCCCGTGACTTCCCATCATTGTACGCAGGCACGCCTTGGTACTCCCCCTCGTAGATCTCGTCTTCATCGTCGTGGCCCTCCGTGGCGTCGCTGGAGGCCCCGTCCTCATCGTTGGCTACGTTGTCAGCGTAGTTACCGTCTTGCTGAGTATAATTATTGTAGTTGTTCTCTTCTTCATCCTCGTTCTGGAAACGGTTGTAGCTGCGATGAGTTGAGTATTCATCTGAGGCAGAATCAACAGCTTTGCTGAAATTTTTGGAAGCGTGCCTCTTGGCTTCTTTAGCGATGTCCTTGGCACCTTTAACCAAGGAAGTCCTGTTGTTATGTGTTTCATCCATCTTGACACAAGGTTAGCTGGCACTAAAAGTCTTTTAATTCAACTCTCTTGAGCTTTTATTCCACCCGGTGCTACAAATATAAGCTACCTATTCTTTCTTTCTTTATGGTTTTCTATTCCCAGACAGAGCAAGACTTAAGGCAGTTTATTAGTGCTGAAAGGTCTGTCAGATGCCAGGAAACTAATGATTAAGTAATGAGGTCTAATTCCATTGGATGGGAGAAGCCAGACAGTGCTGAAACGGAGACAGTTGATCTCAAATTGGAAAGATCCTCAGTCTGTCAGAGCTCAGCAGAAGACACCATCAGCCTGTGGGGACAGAAAGAGAAAAGCTTGATTAAAAGCTGTCTGTCACAAATACTTGACTGCAGTAGTTCCTGGCACACGGAAAATAACTTCAAAAGAACATTTCAATACTGAGACAGCCAAACTCCCCACTGAAACTGACACAAACTGTAATATAATAATGACGAGGAAATGCTTTAACAAACTGTGCAGTGTCATTGAGTATTTGCAGACTGAAAATTATCTTATAATTTCTATGACTTTTTGCTAAAAAACAACAATGGTGGCTGCTAAAGAGGTTAGCGTAGACGCTGCTAGCATCAGTTCATTAGAACTGAAGAGTATTTCTCCATCGAAAGTAGAACAAAGAACAACACTGAAGGTTTTTCTCGATGGAAAAGATGTTTGCTCTTCTCCCGACTGGCTTCAGGTAAGGATTTTGACGACGTTTTATGGTTCATAGATCTGATTGGCTGAAGTAATCTGTGACCGACAGCGATGAACAGATGGTTCATCCAATCACCTGCACTTTTCCAAACAGTTTCCAACGACACAAACCCACCAACATAAACAAGTGTGGAATGATATCACAGACACGTAAGGATATAATGCAATTCAAAAACAAGCTAGAGCTTCCAAAAAGAATCGAATAACACCAACCAGTGGCAGAAAACAGTTTTGACAAGCTTCACAAAGGTTAGATTTATTGCAGGAATCCTATATTTGGGCGTATGCAGCTATGCGTTCTTAATAAACTGCACTCAGAGCACTCTACTTGCAGTCTGGCTAAACAGCTTCTTTTAACAAGCCCATCAATGATCTGGCTAGAGTAAAACTACGTCCACACAAATGTGATTGATTGTAACAAAGCTATGTACTGTAATGGTGATCAGTCTGTTAGCTGTCAGCCAAGCTTGCAAACTAACAACTGCAATACAAGAACATTTCATTTAATTATAACTCATGTCCTTGAAGTATTTCTGGAATATTTCCAGGACTGTTGCACTAAGACTATAACACACAAGCTGTGAATTGGAGTCCTCCAGTCCACTGATGTGGTCTTTTCTCCCATTATTAGTTTGCTGATGACATGACAGCGGTAGGTATTATCATGCACTGAGATGAACCAACCCTTGGGGATAAAACACCTTGAAGCCTGGTGTGTAGACATCAGTCGGCTGGAACAAAAAAAAGAAGCTCTTTATGGTTACTGTCCATTAACAGGGCCACAGTCAAGAGGCAGGAGCTTCACTGATGACTACTCAGTGCCTGTAACATCTCTGTACTGTGCAGGAAAACACAGCAGCAGTGTAAAAAAGTCATGGTGACCCCTCTCAACCTCCACAACACTGCATTGGACTAACTGCAGTGGCTTGTAAAATGTGATAAAAGCCATCAGTGCATATCTGGCTTGTCTCTCACCCATACAGGACAAAACAAGTTGTAGAAGCAGAAAGCTAGAAACTTCATCACTGACCCCCAGAATCAGACAGAAGGCATTCAATCCAGGTCCTGAATTCAGGAAAAAAATGACAATCAGACTCTGTAGCATAACAAGTGCAAGCAGCGGAAACAGCTAGTCTGCTACAGCTCGCTATTATACTCATTATATCTTGTTTGTTTAATTGGCTAAAAAGCGGCTGGGTGCAGTGACTTCCTGGAGTCTTTGCAATCTCACGGTGACCACAAGCGCACAGCCGCAATCACCATCAATATTTTCTTACACCCCTATAAAATGCTGAGCTCTAGAGGTGCTGATAGGCAGATTTGTTTTTCTTTTTCAGTTTCTATACCTTAATGTTAAGCTAAGCTAAGTGGCTGCATGCCGTAGGTTCATAGTTACTGCATGGACGTGAGAGTGGTATCGATCTTCTCACGTAACTGTCAGCAAAGAATAGAAATAAGCGTATACTTTCCCCCACCATATGCTTAGACATATAATCTTCTTTTTTGTCATTGTTACTTTGTTACTATGAAAATTGTAAAATGTCATACTATATTAATACATTGCAGTACTAGGTTACCTATCTATGTTTTTTTTATTCTAATGTCAGGTCTGCATTGTATGTGGTACGACTTTATTTATTCGTATCTGTGTCAGTTCGAACAGAAGAAGCTGAATTGAATACATTTTATTCAAATCATGTATTCATTTGTAATATGCCCTCAGAAACACTATATTCTTGGAAATTTGGCTTTTGTGACCATGTTTTCTGTCAGAGCTTATTCATTTCTGGGTCATGCTTCTAGGCTGGAAATACATGTCAGCATGTATGACTGACTCCCCTCGGGGGTCTCTCTACTGTGACACTGGCATGGCCTCTCAGAAAACCTGTCAACACATCAGGCCGGACCCGTCCGTCTGCCACACTGCAGCCAGCACTCATCAAGCCCAAAGACCGCTGCAGGGGGAACAGCAGCTAGCTTGGGGCCCTCACATTACACTCCAAAGCCCTTTAGCAACACTGTTATTGACATTGCAATCACAGAGTACAGACGGAACAAATATACTGCACATGCAAAACATGTGAAGGAGCATTTTCATGGTTCACCATTTGTCTGGGAAACACTAATCTAATCTATTCTGCATCTTCTTATTAATGTCTGGCATTAACATATTTTAGCTAACTTTAAATCATCCATGTTTAATGTTTAATGTTCTGCTAACTACTACTGCACTGCTATGTATACGTTCTGCCAAAAATGGGAAAAGTACGAACATCATGATATATTTTTAGGCACATGAAGGGGCAGAATGGGCCCGTAGGGAGAAATAATGGTGTATAGAATTATGGGCAATATCATGGCCAGGAATAGTAGGAGAGGGCTTCCAGCTAAGACCACAAAAGGAGTGGATTGTGGACTTCATTGCAAGAAAAACAACTCACTTCTTACAACTCACCAGCTCTGTTTATGAGTAATCTGCTTTTGAATATTTCAGTAAATTTATGTTGCATTGAACTCTGCTGGACTCAAGTGTTTTATTGAAGAAGAATTGAGCAGTGTGTGAGAAGACACAAAAGACACCGGCTCAGTTGAAGGTTTTTCTCCCACAGGATCAGGGCCAAAAAAAAACTTAATCATGACATGTAGACATTGTTATTACTAGGTGATAACAGTGTCTACAAACGATGCATTACAGGTTCACTGTTTATTGCTGCTGATTAAGGCCGTAGGACAGCATTGAGGGGGACCAAATCTGCCTGGGGGTTCTGGAAGAAGAATTTCCTGCCATTCTCACTTATTTAAAACAATAACTTTTTGCAGGGATATAGCCTTTATAACATATTTAATTCCAGTTTTACACTGTTTTAATACATTTGAAGGAAATGAAATACAGAAACAGTACATTGTCAGGTCAAATTAAATAAATAAATAAATAAATAAAAGGGAAGAAATATGGTTGGCCATTGTTGACTGGTTGTAATTTATAGTGACCCTAGTTTGATCATTGATTGACTATGAAGACTTTATTATAACCTAAAAACAAAACAAAAATTCTCATAGGGGATTCCTGAAGACAAAATCCTTGGGGTCCTTGGTCCAATGTGCATCCATTGTGGGGGTCCTTCCCCTTAAAAAATGCGGGAACCCCTGGTCTATGGTTTCAGTTAACCAAAGAGGAAATATCTCTATTAACAGGCCTAGCATTCAGTGTTAGTGTCTCAAATGTCAATAGTGGAAAGATGATACAATATACTGTAATCTTCTGATATGATTGCACCTATCAGCAAATAAAAAGAAAATATCCAGCTCTTTTACATTAGCCTTAACATGCTACTCTATTTGTATCTGCAGTCCCTGGAGTGGAAAGCATACACTGAGGTGTTGAGAGTGGGTTAAGTGCCCAAATAGACCGTGGCAGGTTGATGTATGGTGTTTCTGTTCACCTTTGCTCTGCGGGATTAGATAAAACATCAGTTTGGATCTGTCATTTGAACATAAG